AGGAATCTGGACTCCTGGCAATGGGCATCACCACTGCACTCCAGCCAGAACCCAGAGATCCCCATCCAACCCCAATACATTGTCAGCTCTTTGCAGGTCAAGCACAAAAATCACCACCCCCAAACACAGCACTTTTCCCACCCCTCAGGACTGAGCCTCCAGTCCCCACACAGGTACACAGGGGGAGTCTGGAACAGCCCATGCCAAGTTCCACTGGCAGGTGTCAGAGGTTGGCTGGACACAAAGTCCAAACACGAGGTTTTGTCTGGGGTGCTCCATGATTCCCAGGGTAAGGCTGTGCTGCAGCCTGCAGAGTGCAACCACAGGAAGTTTACTGCTCAATAAATTAATCAGTACTCAATTCTGGGGTGGTGCAGGTGCACTGCTCCAATGACATGTTTGCATCAGACACCTCCACACTCCCACGATTCACGAGGTCTGGTCAGGTGTCTGAGACCCTTCGCTCTCAGCAGCTTGAAGTTAATGACAACATCAAATTAAAACTGAGGAATCTCTGTGGGAGAAGTGGAGGGCTGAACACAGAGCATCCGTTCACCACGGACTGGAATTGCCATCCTGCTTTCTGGGTTCTATTTTACTCTTCCTTGGAAGCTACACCTGACTCTACACACACACTGCTAGGTGGGAAACAATCCGAGTACAGCAAAGTTTACATGGAGAACAGGGACAAAATGCCTGTTAAAATCTGTGGTGCACACAGAGGAAGTGCTATGCAAGTGCTAGGAGTTGCTGGCAAGGTTTGCCACCAGCTTGCCTTGAGAGACAGAAAACCCAGGAATGCACATGAAAATTTCAGTTTAAATAGAAAGCAGAGGTATTGAAAAGAACCTTCTGGATTCCCCTATCAACATAAGGCTCAAAATCACTAGAAAACCTGTTTCAAACCCACCAATTTAATCACAGAGCCAGCAATTATGATTAATATTTGCTAAGATAGTTTAAAAATGATACATTTTAATTGAAACCAACATTAAAGTTCATTTTCCAGGCTAGAAATTATAGTAGGAGCATGGAAAAAAAAGTAATCATCATGCATAGAACTGAAGTGTTTTGAACTAGTTGTTTACACAGTGCAAAGATTCGCTAAGTTTGAAGACTCACACTGAAGATGTGTTTTCCATAGGGTTGGGAGGTAAGGATTGAAACACTGGGAAACATCATGGAATCACAGGTGTCGGAGGTCACTTTGAATGACAGCTGGTCTGACAGTTACAGTTAGCACCTGGAAGTCTCACAAAGGGAAACAGAGCTACAAATACACCTCACATACTATCACTTGAGATATGTAAATGAGATTGGGAAGAGATACTCATTAACTAGTTCGGGACATTCCCTTAGGAATGTTGTTTTCAGTCAGTCAGATGAACATAACTGCCAAAGAAACTAAGAAATAGGCATAGGGAAAGGGAGAAGATTTGCTTCCCCTATGTTGACCTAAAATGAAGCTGTGTGTGAAGCAAGTAGAAAACTGAGGCTGACAGGGCTGAGTGGCAGAGACCAAAAGACTGAGTGGCACAGAAATACCAAACCAGGATTTGAAACTGAGATAGGGTTAAAGTCTTCTGTACTTCTGGACGCCTGAGTTAATCTTGGGATGTGCAGGGAGAAGTGCAAGGATGCTGGGCATTCCCCCTCATGGAAGCTTGGTTGGACAGGTAATCCTCCAGCTGGATCACTTGTCCCTCAGAGAGCGCATCAAAACCTGTGCCATCATGTCATCCTCATCAGCATCGTAGTCCTGTGAACAGAGGAACAGGAGTGCTCTGACTGCACAGCTCTGCTGCCCCAGCAGCAGGAGGACATGGAGCTGCTGGAGCAAGGCCAGAGGAGGCCACAAAGCTGCTCAGAGCACTGGAGCACCTTCCCTATGAGGACAGGCTGAGAGAGCTGGGGCTGTTCAGCCTGGAGAAGAGAAGGTTGTGTGGAGACCTCAGAAAAACCTGCCAGGAGCTGAAGGGGCTCCAGGGAAGCTGCAGTGACAGGACAAGGTGGGATGGGAATACATGGAAAGATGAAATTTAGATTAGCTCTTCAGCAGAAGTTTTTGCTGTGAGGGTGGTGAGACACTGCACAGGTTGCCCAGGGAGGCTGTGGCTGCCCCAAGCCTGGCATTGTCCGCAGCCAGGTTGGATGAGCCTTGAACAACCTGCTCTGGTGGGAGGTGTCCCTGCCTGGGGCAGGGGTTGGCACTGGATGATCTCTAAGGTGCATTCCAATCCCTTTCCATACCACAAAGCCATGCAACAGCCACACTGGTAACACAGCAAGTAAGAGCAGCACATGCTGCCATTCCTCTGACTCCCCAGTGCCTCCCAGCACACCCCTGCATGGTGGGTCTCACAGCAGTGCCCTGTGCCACACCAGGGCTCAAGAGACCTCAGGCTGTTCCAGGGAGAGCGAACACATACCACAAAAGTGTCGTAGGAGAAGCGATGTCGTCTTTGAAGGTGCTCCATGAAGTTAGCACTCCTGTAGTTTGGATCTCCCCATGGCATTGAGGCACAAATTGGGCAAACCTGCAAGAAAACCCCAAAAAAGCCACTTAGGCCCCAATGATTAAATGCTTTAACACCTATAGCAGGAAGGGCAGGGACAGGAGCTCGAGAGTTGTGTGTCCCTGTTCTCTATGCACAGGGATGCCCCACAGCTTGCTGGGACAGTTGGTACTGAAGCCTCAGATAACCCTGAATGATTTTAATCCATGTATTAGAGCCCTAAATGGCATGGCTTGCTCTTCTCCCACGTTCCGAACAGCACAACTCACTACAGCTGCTTGCTGTCAATTTCAGCCCTTTTTTCTCAGCCACAGCAAAGTTCCCCTGGTCTCCTTTGCAGAGGTCACTTCTCACCCAGAGAAAAAAAAGGAACTTTTTTTCTGAATAATCTGGAATTCCAAAAAACTTCCCATAAAAACAAAAAAGTTTCAGATTCAGTTCCATGTTTTGCAATTCCCCTACATGAGAGGAAGTGTCAGCAAACAGACTACTAGAACGATGTGCTATTTTTTGCAAGCATTTTCCCCAGTGCTTTATAGTATCTTTTTGCTGAGAACAGCACAGGGGAAATGTCTGACTTTAATAATTTGCTGTGCCTAATTAACTTGGAAGGTCTGCCACTCTTCAAATACAAAAGGAGTGGCCTGGCTGCAGCTGGAGCAGAGACCAGTCACTTCCAGAGAGCCACCAGCAGAATCAGGTGAGCATTATAGGCAGGACCAACACATCCACTCTGCACCCCAACAGCGATAATTGTATCTACTTAATTGAAGCAAGTCTCTGATTCACTGTTTCAAAGGGCTGCAAGACTTCACTGCAATCCTTGCCCCAAGGCTTTCCATTACCACTTGTTTTGCATCCATGCTGTGCAGTGCTTTGCAGTGTTCAACTAGTCCTTCTTGGTCGAAGTTCTTCTCACTGCAGTATGGACAGGGAAAGGTGAAGCGATTGGGGAAGTTCCTGGAGGAGAAACAGAGGTTGTTTACAAAGCATTCAAAGCCATAAGCTCACCAACAAGCTAATGTCAACAATCAGTTTGTAAACTCTAACAGGAGCTTAAGGAACTCAATCTTGTCTTTCACACAAACCCACAGCTCTTCTACAAATGTCCTAGGTGCCACTTATCACCTTTTTTTCAATGCAAGGGGTAACACCCAATGTGCCCCAGGCACCAGTGCACTACAACCAGTGCTTCGAATAGAGAAACATAAGAGGTTTAATTGAAAAAGCAGCAACATCTGCTGAGTACCCTGATCTTAAAGATCACAGAATTCAGACTGGCTTGGGTTGGAAGGACCTTAAAGGTCATCCAGTCCCAGCTCCTGCCATGGGCAGGAACACCTTCCACTAGCCCAGGCTCCTCCAAGCTGCATCCAACCTGGCCTGGAACACTCCCAGGGATAGAGCAGCCACAGCTGCTCTGGACAACCTGTGCCAGTGCCTCACCAACCTCACAGGGGAGAATTTCTTCCCACTATCCTGTCTAACCCTGCTCTGTGTCAGTGTGAAGCTATTTCCCCTTGTCTTGGCACTCCAGGCCCTTGGCAGTCTCTCTTCCTCTTCCTTCCAGGCCCCTTCAGGCACTGGAAGGCCACCCAGTGCCTTCTCCATACTGAACAATCCCAGTTCTCTCAGCCTTTCCTCAGAGCAGAAGTGCTCCAAGATGTGCTGTGCATGAACCAAGCAGCAGCAGCACACCTTGCTGTGCACAGCTCTGTGCATGAACCAAGCAGCAGCAGCACGCCTTGCTGTGCACAGCTGCGGATTAAGGCTCAGTTTTACCTATGTAACAATGAACACCCAAACCCAGTGAGGAGACAAAGTCTGCTTTTAGTTCAACATCCTTTTCACGACACAAAGCCACGTTTTCAGAGCACAGCTGTCACCTGGTGTTGTGGAGAGGCTCTTTCGTGACGGCCTTCACCCCCTCCATGATGTAGTTCTGGTACTTGGAGCAGGAGGCCGCGTGGCTGCGCATCTTTGAGAGGTACATCTGTGCAGGCAACAGCAGCACAGAAAGTTAATTCAAACTGGTTGGTTCCTTCTATACTTTTAAGCAGAAGCAGCAAACATGCAAACCAGAGCAGCTTTCTGTAAAAGTGCTAGAGCAGAAAATCCAAATATTTCAGCTGGTGAGGCAGAAAACTTTTGAGATTAGAGATTAGTTAATCTGTGACTTTTCTGCCTGTAGACATTTACACTGCCACACTGCCCAGGACAGCTCACTCTTCACCTCTACTACAGTACATAAACAAAGCTTCCTGTAAAGCCAGTTCACCTGGTCAGTGAGGAGTGTATGGAAAATAACCTGGTTGTTAGGGCAGATCTAGCTACAGACTGACTGCTAATTGTTCCATCCCATTAACACTCAGATTTACAACACGCAGAGCAGTAACTCAAGGCACTGCAGATTCCTCTCGGTTGGAATGGAGAGAGAATGGAGAAATGACCCAGAAATAGAAAGTGAAACTAACTGAGCTGTTCGCCTTCCTTGGTGTGTTTCATTATCCCTTTCCTGTTGCTCTGCCATCTGCTGTGATATTTTCTTGCACACTGACTTAATGCTAAGCAGCACAACTTCACCAAGGGGAGGGGAGAGCCAGGAGGGATGTCACACAGGTCACAAGAACAGCGAGTCCATGGAATACACCAACCATCCAAGACAACTCTGACCCGTGACTATTGCAAACACAGCAAGTAAGTTTCTCGTTAAGAGCCAGAGCTCACTCTCTATGCCCACAGCCACTGTCCCTTCACAGGGACATGCTCACAGAACCAACACCTCACTGCAACTTTAAAATCAGTCTTTCATTGGGAAGTCAGTTCCTGGAGAGAGAACACAAAAAGCTGTGGGAAGGATGTCAACGTTTGTGTGCTGCCTATACAAAACACCTTTAGCACATATCACTGTGCCCTGATTCTGCAGGGAGCTGACAAGCAAGCCCTTTGCTCTCCTCCCCACAGCAGGCACACCTCGTGCCCTTCATTTCCAAACGCTTCCATACTTTTTTACTGCAGCCATGGCAAGTGGTTTCTGTGGTTTCAATCTGCTTCTCCAGGTCCAGAGCTCTGCTGCCAGGGGACAGGGAGCTGCGGCACACCCCGCACACAGGTTTCTTGGGCTTCAGGCACTGCTGCAGGCACGGCGTGCAGAACCTGGGGACAGCGGATGGTGAGACAGCCCTGCCCAGAGGGCACAGCACCCACTGCCTCCCACAGCTCCTGCCCAAGGGAGAACAGTCTGCTCGAAGAGGATCAGGTAAAGCAGCAGCTGTTGGCACTTGGGCACGGAGGGAGGAGAAGGATTCATCGCGTGCAGTGTTATTAGCTGTAGGACACTGCTCTGTGCCCTTGGTTTCCACACAAGATCACAGAACGGTTTGGGTTGGAAGGGACATTAAAGCCCACCCAGTGCCCCCCCTGCCATGGGACGGACACCTCCCA